ACAGACCTGAACAACACCAGATATATCTGCGAGGCTTGGGCTGCGTTATAAGGGGAGAAAAGGAGCTGCAGATAGTGCCTCAGGCACCAAGACAGAAAATAGGCAGCCTCCCGTTTGATTAAGATCTTCCAATCAAGCGAATAACAACAAGGCATGGCAGGAGAGAAGGCGGGTGGTTGACCCTTGATCGGTGTTGCGGGACCATGAATAGACGGCCCCGGGGAGGCACAACTGTCACAAGCTGGTACAATTTGGGTAAGTGGAAAAGATGGAGATTTTATTTGTTTTAATTCTATGTAGTGTCTAAATTAATTTGTTTTGTCTTTTTTCCCAATTAGGTGGGTATTTTTACCTTGAAAATGAGTCTCATCACTCAAGGTTTTAATCAGTGCATCTTGCTACAAACAGGAAGTGTTTGTCAACTGAAAGCTTCAGCAGTGAGTATTAAGATCACAGCTCCCAGTACTGAAATGATAACTTCTTATAAGTATTTGAATTGTTAAAACACCACTGAAGGAAAGGAATCTATTAGAGGGGTTAAAAGAGGTTTGTATTCCTCTATAAGGCATTTAGCAAAGGAAAATATATAATGAATATTCAGTATTTCCTGACAATGAGACCTGTTGGAATCTGAGATAGGAATGGTTTGTTTATACAGTGCCGTAACTATGCATTCTCATATATAGACAAGTTAAAGATAAGGGTCATATTTGGATACAGCAGAATGATTGAAATTCTGTTTTGAGATTTACAGTGGTGTGAATCTACAATACTTCTGTTCCATTTCTGTGAAGTTACTAAGGTGTGCTATTAAGTGCAGAATTTGGATGCAAGTAATCAGATTATCAAAGAAATCAGGAGAAAATCCATTTTTGAGCTCGCTAAAACCATTTTTAGACAAGGCGTCGGAGAATATAACAGGATAGAATGCTGAGCCTGGAGGATGCACTGAATAATCTTACCTACCTTCCATCATGGATAGCCATGTGATGTTGAAAAAGATTTGTTAAAGAAGGACATATCAGATCCTTGAATCTGTACCTATCCTTAGGATTTTGGGTCCAGGTCATACTGAAATGGTATTTAAGGAATGTTTTGTTTTTTTTTTACTCCTTTTTGGATAAAACCTAAGATGGTTGCAATTTTGCAAGTACAGGTGATAGTGGTTCAAACAGTAGGACAAGTGTAGCAACTACTAGGATTCCAAAACTGAGCCTTGATTCAGCTCTGACTTGTAGATATGCCCCATCCTAGGACCATCTCTACAACATAAGGAGGGATGATGTTAAATAAAACTGAATTAAGAAGGAAGGTCAAATTTCAACCTGGACTGTGGTGTGGAGTACACGTTCAACTTTATAGTAGAAATCATCATTGCTCTCTGAATTGTACTTCTCCATGGAAGCCTTCAGTATTTCCTTCAGTTCTGGACTGTCATTTGGGATGCGCTTTGGACAGCCAGGACAGATCTGTGGAGGAGGTACAGTTTCCTCAACTGAAAGAAACATTGGGTTACATATAAATCTAAAGAGGAAAAGATTCAGTGTGTATTAGGCCTGGAGAACCATCTATTTGGAAACCCACAGTGTCTGAACGGAATGTGTTTGACCCTGACAGGCTGAACCTAAATATTTTGAGCTTTATATGGGAGGTGTATGTGTTGCTATATCCTTGATGAATTTGAGAGGTGTATTCAGCATTTAAGCCTAAATTGGGTTTTTGATCAATAATCTGCTTCTCCTAGAAGTGAGAGAGATATACATAAAGTGAGGCCAGTGGAGAAGGCAGATACAGACTCATCTGCAACTGGATGAGGGTCTGGATTAGAGGATTTGAGACAACTTCAAGCCTTGAGGTCTCTGAGTGCACATTATAAGGCATGAGCAACTGTATTTTTAAGACGATCATTAGCATTCTTTGGAGTAAAACATATCTAGGGGTATGTTCACATTGTACTCCGTGACTGCAGAGGAAAGTAGCTATTTCAGAATCAGGTTGAGGTGGGAAATCATACCCCTGAAAAGGTTTCCAAGGTATCAAATTTAAGAATAAATCTGAGGACATGAAATACAAATGGTGACAGCACTAGACATCTGTGGACAGGCTCTGGGAAGACACCAGCTAGGATGGCCATGGCTGTGTAGTTTAAGGGGATATACATACAAAACCTAGTTGTGACCATGTTGTACTATCTTTTTTGGACACATCTGTATCTTTGTGAAGGCCCTACATGGCGGACTTCTCTGTCATGTGGGAGGGTGGACTGGAGCTCCTGGGAAAATCTAGATTTTCTGGAAGCATATCTGAAAAATCGCATAGTGAAAATGAATGGTGTGACATTAATGTCTGTTAAAAGGCCCTCTTCTGACTGTGATGGTATAAAGGAGTAAGCAAGTTTATTCTACCTGTAAATAAAGTTTAGGTTAAAAAATGTGCTGTCTAGGCTGCCCTGCAAACCTTTATAGTGGGTTTGACTCTGAGATTATCCAGGTAATCCCTGTATGGAGCCCAGTGGCCAGCCCAACATGCCATAGTAGACAGAGATGGTGGACAGATCAGAGATAATAACTTTCCCTGCTGTTCCTACATACTTGTAGGAAATGAGAAAATTGTGCATTAATATTTCCTGCTGAGAAGGGAAAAGACTTTTGATATTTCTTTTCTTTCCCAGCAGCATTTCTCCTCTCATTATTTTCTCAATCCCTTTACATTTTGATTACACAGTAAATTGTAATTGTAACATATCAGCTGCAGTTTCAACACTTTCCAGATTATGGTAATTTTCACATACCTGGAAACTTGCATTGCTGTGTAACATCAACAAGTGTGTTGCTGAGATCCACAAAAGCCTTGGCTACACAGTGACCTACATGCTGAGTTAAAAAAAAAACAAAAAACAGCTTTTAAGAATCCTAAACTCATATGTAAATGTCCCACAGCTCCTCATCATAGGAAGAAAAAACCCCCAAACCTTGGGCCATGCAGAAAGAGAGAGAGAGATTGAAGGGGTGATCATGGCTCCCATCACAATAGTGCAACTACATTGTTCTCACCATGTTTTCTCTTGAGCTGTATTGGTGGACATAAAGACAGGGTTCAAGCCCAGCAGTTTCTGATCAGGAAAAATAAGATGCCCTGCAGATATGTTGACAAGACCTTCTGATCCTTACCAAGGGCCATATATGGTCAGCTCATAAGGTTGTTTAACAGCCAAGGAGCTAAGGGGTTGTTATAAAAGCCATGTGATCAGTCTTACAGTTGTGGTAGTTTGGCTGAATTCATGAATCATTTGACAGAGTAGGAAATGGAGGCTCAAGCAGATTAAGTGATGAGCTTCAGGTTAACTAGCAAGTCTCTCAGATAGTCCGGCAGTCACTCCCTTGTCAATTCAGAACAGTGTGGTCTCATCCCTTCTCCTTTCAGACAGCACTTCTGAAGGGGGTAGCAACATCCCATGAGGAATTTGTGAACAGCAATCAGAGACATTCTGCAGTGACATTTATCTGCTACACATAGATTTTGCGTACATATAAGTAGCTTTTGGTAGCCTGCTCATTACCGTCCACAATATGATTTTAGGCATATCTGTCAGTACAGTGACTAACGCAAGCATTCTTGAACAAAAATGACCTCTCCGTCCCTACCATTTCTGTGTGCAAGCCAGCTGGTAACTCAGTGCTACATAGGAGAAATATGTGTATTTATTTATTATTTCCTTCAGGGCTTTCCTGCTTAGACTGCAATGCAAAAAAATGGGAATTTGGCTACTTACTTTCCTTAGGAACTATCTGCCTGAGGCTACTTAGAGTTTGCCATTTTAATGACTACATTACTGCTTTCCCATGCAGAGTTCTTGGCCAGGATCTCCTTGAATAAAGCTTTATTGTTTTGATGAGACTTTTTTGGTTGCCTAGGTGAATCTAAAGACATTTCAAGAGCCCTGATTCAGCAAAGCACTTAAACATGCCCCTTCCTATCAGTACCATCCATATGATGGCTAGATGGGTCATAAATCCAGTGCCAACACCATAAGCACATGTTTAACTTTAAGCCTATGCTGAAGTTCCAGTTACCTAAAGCTGAACAAGCATTTAACCGTTTTGCTGAATTAGAATCTTTGTCATCATTATTATTTCCCAACATGTTCATTCAGCTATACGTAAAGATTACTTACGCCTCCAAAAATGGGCTTGCACTTTGGACTTAAATCCTGAAATTGTTCCTTGGAGCAATTTGTCTCTTTGACCGTATATTCAACTGCATAGTTCCATCCAGCTACCACCTGGAACAGATATTCAGGAGACATCTCAAATGATTCAGTAAGTCTTGAGAAATAAAACTTTTAAAGTCACCAAATGGACAGCAAGATAACAACATTTTTGTAGGACCTTCCTTCCAAGGCTTTCAATCATGCTGAAGTTTGTAAGCCATATCACACCTCAGTACAGCAGGAAAATATTATCCTTGTTTTCCAGAAGAGTCTCAGGGGCCAGCTGTGAAATTTGTGTCCATATCCACGTTCACATTCCAAACCTCTTGTCCCATAGCATAAGGTTTCTTGTATTTCCTCCAAAACATCTGTTCCTGGCTTGTGGCTTGCACTAACTGGAACCATGGGGTTGGAAGCAGTTTAAGGGTCATCTAGTCCAATCCTTTGCACAGATGCAATGATAGTGCATCAGGGTGGACAAAGTCGTCTACTGCTTTGACTCAGTGTGTCAATCCCTGTGTACAGCATTTCAGGGTAGGGGTAGTCATAAGAATTGCCATTTACTGGGTCAGACCATAGGTCCATCTTGCCTATTACCCTGTGTTACAGTGGCAGAGAGTGGATGCTGAAAAGGAGAGTGAACTGGGTATGTCTGGGGTTTTTCCTACTGTTCCTCTCACTTTTAACCTCCAGTGTAGAAGGTCCAGGAAGTTCTGATTCAGAGGCTGTATTCCTAACTCTTGTGATCAATAGCTACTAATGCCCTTTCCTCCAAGAATCTGTCCAATCCCATTTTGAATCCAACTAAACTGTCAGCTTCCACAACATGTGATGGCAATGAGGTCCACACTTCAATTACACACTGGGTGCATCTACATATGCGCTTTACTATGGAGTAGACTAATTAGCTTTGCAGTAAAGCATCACCATCCACATGTGTGCAGTATAAAGGCGTTGTAAATTAATTAACTCCAGTACTGTCCCTGACAGCACTATTGTACAATGGAGTAATTACGTGCACTGAAATGCATGTGTAGATGGTGACAGGGGCTGGGTGGGGCACAAGGGTGCTAAAATGTGGGAGCTGCCTGCTGCCTAGCCCCACACTTTAGCACCCTCCTGCCCTAGCCAGCCCTTCTGCTGTCCGCCACTGCCACCTGGAGCTGACCCCCTGTTCATCCTGCCAGGCTGGGCTGCTCCACCCCCGATTCACATAAGTTTAGGGCTGGAAGGGACTGTGTGATATCATTGGGTCCATCCCCCCTGCTCTGGGCAGGAAAGATTTCTGGGGTCAAATAACCCCAGCAAGGTGTGCATCCAGTCCCCTTTTAAAGATCTCCATGGTAGGTGCCTGCACCACCCCTGCTGGGAGTCCATTCCAGAGTCTGGGCACACGAATCATGAAGAATTTTTTCCTTATATCCAGTCTGAAACCTTCTTCTAGGACTTTATGACCATTTCTCCTGGTTTTCCCCTGGGGTGCTTTGGTGAATAGTTGTTCATCTAGCCCTTGATGCTCACCCCTGATATATTTGTAAGCTGCCACCAAATCTCCCCAAAGTCTTCTCTTTTCTAGGCTGCAAGTACCATATCTGTCAGCCTTTCTTCATATGGCTTGCTCTTTAGGCCTCTAATAATGTGTGGCTCTTCTCTGGATTCTCTTAAGCTTCTCCACATCCTTTCTGAAGTGTAGTGCCCAGAATTGGATGCAGTGCCCAGGCTGAAAGTGCTGCTGCCCTGGGTACATGTGTAGACGCTGTGCCTGGGAGCAGCTGAAGCAAATCGCCAGAGTTCATTTTGTCATGTTAATTGCACATGTAGATACTCCCACTATGTGAACAAGAACTTCCTTTTGTTAGTTTTAAGCTTACTATCTCCTAGTTTCATTTTATGACCCCTAGCTCTTGTATTGTAAGAGAGTAAATAATACATCTCTATTCAGTGGCAGATTAAGATTTATTGGAGCCTTGGACTCCAGCAGGGGGGAGGGGGCCTTTCCCCATCTAGTGCTGCTGCTGCCAAGGGGCGGTGGGCCTCCATGCCTTGCAGGCAGGGATGGCATAGGGGGAGCTATAGCCACCCTAAAGTTCACCTTAGCTTCCCCATAGCCACCCCTTCCAGCGCCCTCACCACCCGCCCACCTGCCACACATAGGTGAGCCTGCAAAGGTCCGGCACTCCCAGCAGAGGCAGTTTCAGCCTCTTCCTGGTGGGGGAGCTGGGCTTGGAGTGGGGCAGGGTCAGCTGCATGGGGTGGGTGGGCAGAAGCAGTGGTGGTGCTGGCAGGGTGGCTAAGGGGGGGGGGGCTAAGATGAATTTTGAGGTGGCTATAGCTCCCACAACTCCTCGGCCCAGCCAAGCCCAGCCCTGACCCAGCCCCACCACACTGGGAAGGGGCTGGGTAGACCTGGCCAATCAGGGGCACCCGGGTACCTGGGTTCCTGTGGGAAACAGTGAGTTTCCTCTCGCAGGTAGGCAGTATTCCAGCCTGCAAGGGGCTGCTTGGGGCTGCCAGGAGCAAGATAAAGGGGGCACCATGTGCACGTGGCCTGGAACACAGTGGGCAGTGTGGCCTAATTTACATACATCCTGCACATCTGACTTTCTGCAGGCTGGATCTGGGAATGGAAAGGCTGCTTTGAAAATCCATGCCTAAACTAGTGCCAGGAAGCAAGACTGCAGCATTACTCAGTGGCTACCCATGTTCCCAACCCATGGAACAGAGTAGTATCTACATCCTCTCTGTAACACAAACCTGATCCAAAGTCTAATGAAGTCCATGGGCACAATCCTGCTGCCTTCAGAGGGCTCTGGATTAGGATTAAAACAAGCATATGATGTATTCCTTCTTTGGTTCATCCTGGTGGAGTCCTCTGGATGGTCTGTATAGGCCTGATGTGAAGACCCTCCAGGGCTCATAGGCGATGTGGCAGTTTCCTTTCCAGGGGCTCTATTACAGCTCCTGGAACAGTTTTCCTACAAGGTTTGTGTTGTGTGTGTCTCCACTCAGAGGACCAGTGGAGTTAATTAAAGCGGAGGGAATGGATTTTTCTTAATACACCTGATTTGATTCCAGATGCGGAGATGAAGCTAGCACATGACTAGAAGGCACAAAGACAAAAGCATACAGATATACAAAGAAAAGGGATACACACTTGTTTTAGGCACGTAATACTTAAACTTAGATAAGTAACTCTCTCAGATTGATTTGAGATTGGAGCCTGCACTTCCAGTCTATCCAGAATTCCCACAAAATACAGAATTCAGTTGTAACAGACAAGTTCTGTGTGGCTTTTTTCCCACTCTTCTTCTTTAACTTTGTCTATACCTTAAAACAGGGCTGGTAAACCTGCAGCGTACATGCAACAAGTGGCACAGGCTGCCTCTGTGTGTGGAACATGGCAGATTGCTGACAGTATGCATTGGCAACAGGAACAGCTGAACTAATATTGAACACTGTTCAAACACACCATGCTTACTAACAGTCCAGAGAACATAGAAGCTCTGAAAATCAGGTATTCAGTAAGATGTGCTTCAGTTTCCCCCTCTATAGAAATGAAAAGTGCTGTATAGTTCTGATTATAAGTTTACCTTTTTTCCCCTCAAAAAAGAGCCATAAGAATTGCCCTTGATTTATACGCAAGATAAACCTATAACGAGGGTGCTGACAATAAGGTTATAATTGCACTATAAGATCTGATTTTTGGTTGACCTTTGCACAAGCATCAGCCAATATTCAAGAGAATTTTTCCCCCTCAAATTGAACCTGAAAACATGGATTTGGCTTATATGCAGGGCTGACTTATAATTAGAACAATACAGTATAATTTTTATAGCACACAGCTTAGGACTGTGAAGTATAACATAAAAATGTAATAAAAAAAGAAGTGCATAGGCGGAGCCAAAGTACTACGTGCCCTAAAATGAAAGAAAAATCCAGTATACAAACCTGTCTTGTGGCTGTTATTATTTCACCAACTTCATACAGGAAGGATTTCTGACTTTCTTTATTGAAGATTCGAATGGCATATCTCAGAATGGGTAGCAGATCTAAGCTGTTGCCTGGTATGGGATGGTAGCATCCAAGACATGGAGCATGAGAAAGAGTCACTCTTCCTGCAGCTGGAAAACAAATCAACCAAAAAAATCATGGGTTTTGCTCAATGAAACAGCTTCACTTACTGGGGTAGTTCTGAAGGGTTGTATCCATGATAGTGAATGATACATGTCAGGAGTAAGGGTTCTTTTGTTATATATTTTGTTGGATCAACCGCACGGTTGGAAAGATGTTAGACAAGCTTTTGGGCACAAAGTGCTCTTTCTGAAGCCTGGACCTGGAAAATGGCACTTTGTTCTGAAAGCATGTCTAATATCTCTCCCAGTTGGCCCAATAAAAGATAGCACCAAACCCCCTTGCACTTACTAGGCACAAGTGAGCTCTTAGAACCAGAGAGAACTGGAAGGGCCCACAAGAGGCCACCTAGTCCAATGCTTTGCTCCAGGCCTGTGTCTGAACTATCCCAGCCAAGTATTTGTCTAAACTGCCCTTAACAGCTTCCAAGGATGGAGATTCCACAACCTCTCTAGGTAATTTATTTCAGTATTTAATCATCCTCACAGTTAGAAAGTTCTTCTGACTGTACAACCTAAATCTCCCATCTTGCCCATTATTACTTGTCCTGCCCGAAAGAGGATTAAAAAAGTAGGTTTCACCCCCCCCCATTTATACCAACCCTTTTATAGCTGAAGATGGTTATCAAAATTTCCTTTGATTTAAGGAGTGAGAATCTTCACTTCCTTCAAATGGACAGCAAAATACAGATCCAGACTACAAGTGCTTACAGCCTAGATCTAAATTCGTTGTATTTGCTAAAACCCAAACGTATGGCTCAGTACAGCAAAATTGCGATCCAAATCTGGAGTAACATACATTTCTGGAGTCTAGGAATCTAAGATTTAGTTTTAGGCTCTTCTCTATTTTAAGAAGAAAATATAACACATAGCTCTGAAGATGTGTGAGAAACGATGTCATTTATCAGCAGTGGATAGATAAGAGAATGGCAAAAGCCACTGGGTACCACAGCTGGAGTTGCAATAAAGTGAAATTTCCCTGACGTCTGGTTTTACAGGATAATCTATGGAGATCTTATACACTCCACCAGGCATTAACATTTCAACTGGCAGCTTTTCTGGTGGGCCACCATGATGCAGAGCTCCTGTATAGGTTTACATTCAGGTGCTCAGCAGACAGATTGTGTGAACTGCCTCTAACTTTCACATGGGCAGCCAAGCGTTTATCAGTTTTCAGTAAAATCAACTTTCAAGCACCGTCAAATTGGGCTGGTTTTGACTAAGCAACCTAGATGGAGGAGGCTCTAGACTGTGTTCCCTACCACTAATCCTATTACCCCTCTTTCCTGCCTGACAATGATCGGCTGGATTTTCATACATTAATTTCCTAGTTCACTGCATAAATTAATTTCATAATTCAGTGAACTTGAGAATCAAAGTGAGTATTAGATCTCTATGGAATTGAGGTAGTGTTTGTGGGCCTGATCCTCACCTGATGTAATCTGGCTGGAAGTGGAACAATTTAAGGACACGGTAGAACTGTTCCTGTATTAATGGCTGAACAATATGGTGCTCACATATGAGAGACTGAGCTGTGAAATCATTCACCAGGCTGAACCCATTGCTATTGACCTCTTTCCACAGGAATCTTTGGATGAGATTCTGCTCTT